GGAAGTCCTTGTTCACGGGTGATTTCTTGTTCGTGGGTGATTTCATCATGGCCTGAAACAAACTCTCCATTTAGTTCTCTTGGATGGTCCTTCTCTTCCCTTCCCACATCCCCAGACCCTCAGACCCGTATGCTGAGAGACTGTTTCCGGGGCTGGCAGTCATGAGCCTCTCCCAGCTGCAGATGCTCGACTCTAACGAACAACAGGGAGAAAGATTGGTTTTGTGTCATCTGCTCCTGTTAGGCAAGAGGTGTCTTTTTGATGACATGGCGAGAACCGTGTGGTCTGAGGCTTTCCTCGGGGGCACCTTGGGGTGCGCTGGGCACAAAAGGCTGCCTGTTCAGTCCTGTCGCCTCGGCAGCTGCCTCCAGGGTGTAGCAAGGGGCCTGCTGAACCCAGCAAGGCCTCACTGCCAGGCTGCTTCTGCAGCCAGGTGTTCTCTGGCAGGGCGTCTGAGGTCTCTACAGTGCGGCATTTTCACGGAGTCAGCCAATATCCGAGTGCCTGCTCTGCAAGGCTCTGTGCTGGGTGCTGAGGGATCAACAGGGAGATTGGCCACTGCATTATGGGCTTGTCCTACGTTGGGAGAAAGAAGACCATATGCATACTTGTAAGGTAGAGAATAATAAATGCCTTCGACAGGCAGAGAAGGCGAGGGCAAAGTGAGGGACACTGGGGCTGAGCCAGTCAAAGTCTAAAGAGTAGAGGAGAAGCTGGCGTTGGACCAGGCAGGCAAGGAGGCTTTAGCAGATGCTGTGGGGACAGGTGGGGACTCGGGGTGAAGCGGCCTCAACCTGACCGTTGCATGAGTTGCAGGTAGGGGAGAATAGATCCACACAGATTATGGAACACTGCCCAGGGATGTTCAATTCGCCTCTCGAAAATTCTAGTGAAAGTGTTGAAACAACCCCAGCTGAGGGAGAGGCGTCCTGGCTGCGAAGTCAGGTTTGTTGGTTTACCTCATGTCCTCCTCGCTAATTTGGAGGATTTCTGGTCAGTCCGAGGAAGTTTAGTGCCTGAAGAAGAAGGCATTGATTGCAACACCATGGATGGATCTAGAGGGTATTCTGCTAGCTGAAATAAGTCAGACAGAGAAAGATAAATACTGTATGATTTTACTTAGATGTAGAAGATACCAAACAGAATAAAACAGAAACAGACTCATAGCTAGAGGAAACAAACTGGTGGTTACCAGAGTAGGGAGGGTGGGGGACCGGCGAAATATGTGAAGGGGATTAACAGGGACAAACTTCCAGTTATAAAACAAGCAAGCACAGCATTGGGAATATACTCATTAATATTGTGATCATTTTATATGGTGACAGATGGTAACTAGACTTATCATGATCATTTTGTAATGTTTATAATCACATCGCTATGATGTACACCTGAAACTAATAGGATATTATAAATGAATTATGTTTTAATAAAAAAAGAAGGTGTTGAGAAGCTGGGATGTGTGTAGGCGTGTGCATGCACGTGTGTGTGTGTGTAAAGCCCGGTTAAATTAGGCTAAACGCTTGGCATCTGTGTAGTAGGTGTGTCCAGGACTGTGCTGTGTTCCTAGGTGGGTCAGACCTTAGTTTCTAGGCCAGTGTTCCGCCCGATGACAAGGCACTTTGTGAGTCATCCGGCTGTTGCAATGCAGAAAGGTCTGGAACACAATCCACTTTCTTGCCTGGTGTGTATCCTAGGTAGGCCTGGAATACCTAGGAAATAACACCTAAGAAGAAAAGCCTGGGTTTCAGGGTAACGTGGGATGGTGGGCTGTCAGAGCCTCTGAAACCTGGTGGGGGTCGTGGAGCCGTGGAGCCCAGGCTGCTGCTTCCACCTGTGGCCACCTCCAGCCAGCCCAGGAAGGTGAAAGGCAGACGCATTCCAATAGCATGTCGTTCCCTGCTACTCCTTTTTCCATTATTCATTCCGGAGGTGGGAAATAGGGTCTTGGGATCCCCCAAGTGATCTGCTAGTATCAGTGACTCAGTAGAAGTACTTCCAGGATTCCAGAAGAACCTTTTCTATGACTTTTTGAGCAAATAAGGGTGTGACTCTGGGAGGGTGTGACTTCCTTTATTCAAGTTTATATTCTTTATATTAATTCTAGAAAAGATAGGTACGTTTGAATTAGCCGAGTCAGAATCTTGTGACTTGGTTATTGGATTCACATCTGGATACTGCAGAGGAGTCTTAGAACATCAGAGCAAGTCCAGGGGAAAGGACTGGGTGGTTTAGAGATCGGAACGTCATCACAGATTGTTGAAGAACCTGAGGATATTAGCTTGGAGAAGACAAATAGTTTCTTTTTCAGGGGATAACGGTGGGGGAGTGAAAATTACCTTCAACTATTTAAAAGATGATTAAGAAAGAGAGAAATCAGATTTGTTTGTATGTACCTAGCATCAAGATCTCTAGAACCTACGGGCTGGGAGATTTTGCCTTTGTGTAAAGAATAATTATGTATGTTTGAAATGAACAAACTGGTTTGGAAGATCCTCCTTTTTGGGGTTTGAAGTAATACATCGAGGTCCTTTCCTATTTGAGAGTCTACACTTACCACCCTGCTCCTCAGGAGGCCGGTTTGCTGATAATCTCCATCTTGCTTGACTGCCCTGGCAGCCTCTACCAGAGAGGCCAGGTGGTCCTTGCTCAGCATTCAGGAGGGCATGGGGGCGGGAGGAACATGGTGGCACACAGGGTGCTGCCCTGCCATTCTTTCCCACGGTGAGAGTCTGCAGGCTAGCAGAGTGGGAAAGAATAATGACAATAACAATGATAGCAGCAGCTGTCGCTCTTTTTAGGACTGAATGATTTGTTCATGGTCCCACAGCTAGTGGATGGCAGAGCCTGAGTTTGAACCCAGGCAGGCAGGCTCCAGAGCCTGCACTCTTTATTCTATGCTCTTCCGTCTGGCTGGCCTGAAATTCAGTGCTCACAGGAGAATAAACATAAGTGGCCCATGAAAGACAGGCATTCGTATCAAGAACACTGGTTCTTCACTGGAACTGGACATCAGAATCGTCTGGGTATTTTTAAAACACAAATGTCAGAGACTCACTTTTCTTTCTGACGCACACACATGTGCATGCACACACACAAACTCTAATCAGGAAAAGGGGTGATGGCGTCTGACCCCAGGAAGTGGCATGTGGCAACCTGGGCATCTCTTGGTTTGTCGACGGCTGCCCTATTCAGGCTGTACTTTTCAGAGTAGAATGCCGTGGAGCTAGGTCTGCCCTCTCGGAACAGCTCAGGAAACTGTCTCTTGTAGGCACCTGCCATTCATTTCAGACAAAGCAGCGATGGTTTATGGCATAAAGTCACAAAGTGTTTGAGCTAGCTATGGATTATCCAATTTAAATCCCTCATTTTATAGGCAGGTTGCGGGCAGGGGCCTCAACAAAGCCATTGAAAGTGGCAGAGCTGGGCCTGGAGGCCATGACTTCTGGTGAGGTCTCTTCCTAAGAAAACCTTCTTTGAGGAGTTCTAGGGTAGAAGGAATTCTAGAATAATGGGGAATCACTACGGAAACAACAGAACTCGCCTCTCTGTCTGGAAACCTTCCTTGAGCAAAATATGCTAAGCAGATGTGACCTGGTTGCATGTTTATGGTCTCTTCAGCCATAGTGACGAGATAGCTGGTGTCTGACGATTTAGACTGATTGAAGGGTGTGAAGAATAACCTGGAATTTAACACCCAGTCTTGTCACAAGATGAACACTTCTTTCTCGGCCCAGATTCCCTTGTGTGAAAGACCGTCTTGTGTGGAAAATCTCTTTGCTGGGTAATTGTAAAGACTGTAAATCCTCTAACACTTTGTTTTTCTATGTGCAGTTTCCCTGTGTTGTTAGTGCTGTAGTCCGGTGCTTGGGACACAGGAGGCATTCAATTACTGTTTTTTTAAATAGATTGATATTTAATACTCCCCATTGCCCCATAAGAGAATTTATTTTTGTCATGAACCGAGGCATAGAGATGATAAATAACTTGCTCAAGGGCCGAGAGGCAAAAGGCAGGTCTCCTGGCATGTTGTTTAGTTTCTCGCCTCGCAACTGAGTGAGGCCTGACGCCCAGCAGCATTGCTAGGCGCCACTCAGACCTACTGACTCAGAATCCGTGTGGTTGACAAGATCCCCAGGTGATCCCCAAGATTCCCCAGTGTAAGATCCTCTGGTCTGGGTTGCATTTCCCAGTGGATTAACCCTTCTCTCTTGAGGATTGATGGAAATGGTGCGTTTCCTGTCCTGACTGTGTGCTTTTCCCTCTGATGGGCAGTAGGGAAGGGAGGAACTTGAAGATAAACAAATCTGTGACTTTTAAATGTTCTTTGTTCTGTCATCCCTTGTGAAAATAGTTTCCAGGAGGATCTGTAGAGGCCCCTTGGGCTTATTCAGTCGCTCTGGGGAGTGATCCCACAACCAATTCAGGGTGAGACTGACTCCGTCTGGAGGAGAGGGAGTCTGACCACTTCTCTTGAGAGCCTGGAGGCTGAGCTGGTCAGAGGGCAGGTGCTCCAGGGGGCCAGCGTGTGACATTGACCAGGTGAGCCACTGTCACTGGCAAGGGGACTCTGTTGCCCCAGGGAGTTGAGAATGACTCTAGTAGTAGGGGGAGGCACCTGTAGGTCTTCTCTGAATCTGATCGGAGCAAGAGGAAATGACACACTTGTATCTTGGTGTCCAAAGTGAAACCAGCTGGGCTACCAGAGTGTGCAGTGCTTCTGCTTGGCAGGGCGTGCCGGAGGCCAGAGTGAATCCCGCAGGCTGGGGCCCGCTGCTCTGCAGGTGTGATCCTTCCTGACACACTGAGTAATGTCTGAGGTGTGGGCATCACATAATTAAGGTTTTCTCAAAACTGGAAATCCAGAGCATTCAAGTGATGCTCTGAGTCGTTCGCTGTCTGGAAAGAATGTGCTGGCACGGGCAGATTGCTGGCTAAGTGTTCAACTAAAATTAAACTCAAGTGCTGACTTCTTGTTTTTACCTCCCACCCCTTCCCTCAAGGTTGGCCTCCGACAGCTGGACATGTCCTTGCTCTGCCAACTGTACAGCCTCTACGAGTCCATTCAGGAGTATAAGGGAGCGTGCCAGGCAGCATCCAGCCCAGACTGCAATTATGCTCTGGAGAACGGCTTCTTCGATGAAGAGGAGGAATATTTCCAGGAGCAGAACTCCCTCCACGATGGGAGGGAACGCGGCCCTCCGAGGGACCTGTCACTGCCCGTCTCCCCCCTCTCCGGCAGCGACTGGATTCTGGAGTCCCTCTAAAGCATCTCAGGAGGGAGGCGACTGTTACTGCCGGACACACCGTCAACAGTTGCTTCTCCTCTTGCAAGAAAGCTCCTCTGGCCTCCACTGTGGGTGGTCCTCAGGCATGTGGGATGAGTGCTGCCAGTTTACTTTGTAGGCAGGCAGATGTCCGTGGACACATGGCGGCAGTCTGTTCTGATGGCTGGAGTTTCTGCTCAGGCGATCTAGAGGTGCTCAGCATTGTCTTTGACACCCTGGAACTGAGGACTCCTGGTGAGGATTCCTAATGAGAATAGAACAAGGGGGGTTCTGGAGAAGACCTTTTTGGGTATTTTGTGCGAGACAGTTTTGAGCTAGTTCCTTCCTTCTGGATCGTAGGTGATCTCACACCCTCTTTGTTGTAGGCTTTGCCTCCAGCTTGCAATGTGTCACAACTAACTTTCCCCTTCTCCCCTTCCTCCATACATTCTGTGGCCTTTCTTGCTGTTTCATGAGCTTTTAAGCCTCTTGGCTGAGTTTTATTTGTTCGTAAGCTACATTCCTAACTGTCCAGGTGACTCCGTGAAAGCTTTTTACTGGAAAAGTCAACATTTCAGGTCACACCAATCAACTACATTCTCTTAAGCTGTCAAAAAAATTTATATCATTCTTTGTCCATCAGATAGAGGAGGAAGGAAGATAATACAAAGATTTTTTGAGTGGGGAAAAAAAAAACTGGGGCAAGCTGGTGTTTTGTATAATTCTCTGTAAGATGGCAACGTTTTTGTTTTTAAAGATTCTGAATGTACACTGGTATGTTAGAAAGCAAACTCCTCCATTCAAAACAGTGATCACCTTAAGCCTTAATATATTTATTAAAGTACTTTATGAATACTTTATACTGTGTAGGTTAAAAATAAGGCTAAAATGCCAAACTCTCTGTAGTTGTGTATTATTTTGGTCTGAATTCGGAGTCATCCACTTCCATAACTTGAATGTATTGAATCCACTCAAATACTGAAAGAACATTACAGTTTGTTTTCTTGCTATTAAGAATTTGAAAGAAGCTTTATTCTTCTTTTGGCTTATTCTTGGAACTGTTTTCTCCACAGCAGACCACCATGGACAGTTAGGTCTCAGTGTTGCTGGTCTTTGAATACTTCAGACTCCTTGCTCTTCTTTCTTTTGGTGTGATAGTTGCTTATTAGCACCTCTTGTGGGTCAGAGAGAGGAAGTAAAACTCATCCTCATGAACCAACATGTTGACAACCTGTTATGTACACGACCCTGTGTCAGGAACCGGGGTGAGGTACAGAGAAGGAAGAGCGTTCGTGCTCATTTCCTGTGTTGAGAGGAGTAGTTAAAATGAGGGATTGCCTTCAGTGGGTGACATAACTGTTCAGTGGGGACAAGACAATTGGCAGTGACAGACCAGGTGAAGTCTGGTAATCTACAGGAGCCTCTTCCTTTGAGGCTGGCCCCTGCATAACAGTGAGTTGTACCCTAGGTCAGCTGTTCTCAACCCTGACCACATTAGAATCACTTGGGGAGCCTTTAGAACAATAGTGAGCCTGGCTCAGGACGCCCCCACCCTCACTCTGATGTAATTAGTAAGGAGTGAGGCTTGGGCATCCGTATGGTGATACAATGCAGATCTAGTTGAGATCTACTGTTCAAATGTGGTCCATGGAGCAGGCGTCACCAGGAACATGTTAGAGATGCAGAATCTCATACCCCACCTGGACCTACTGAATCAGGCCTGGCATCTTCACAAGATGCCCCCAGTGATGATCCTTTTGCACAGAGTTCAGGAAGCACTGCTTCATGTCAGCCCAGTGCCAACACTGCTGCTCTGAGAGGCTGTAGCATCTCCTTGCAGCACTAAAGAAGAGACTGGCCTGCCCCAGGCAGTAGTCAGGACACCCAGTCCTCTTGGAATGGGCCAAGAATAGCCAGGAGCAAAGCTTGCAGGGCTGGCTCGGGCTCGGGGAAGCCCCCTCGTTTGGAATGCGAGCTTCCCTGGCGCTGCTGCCTCTGGGCTCTGCTGGGACTGTGACAATGCATAGTGTCTTTGAGTTTCTGGGCTCTTATCTCATCATTGCCGGATAGTCTATCAGAGTTAGAAGTGGAATGAATCAAGGCAAGCAAGGGGCCTCTCCCTTACTGTTGGGAAGAGCTAACATTCCTCACTCGTGTGGTGAATTGGCATATATGCATAAACCACTGCAGTTTCTAATACTCCTGAAATGTATATAAATCACCCCAAACTTTGTCTTACTCCAATCGTCATGTACTGTTGAAAACACAACCTCGCAAGGAATGTTAACATTTCCCAAACCGTAAAATGTTTTCTAATACACCCTCCTTACAGTTCTGCAGATGACTAGAAAATAAATTGAGCTGGGGTCCTGTATTGCTGCCTGGAGTAAATCATGACCTTGGAAGTTAAAAGTGCGACTCTTGCTACTCAGTGGCTAACAGAGTGCCTGGTAGGTGGTAAGACAGTCCAACTTCAGCTGATAAAGCTGAAGAAACTGTAATCTGTGTAAGGCAGCGTACATAGTGGTTAAATAAAAGCACTTTTATCTTCCTAAGGTGTATGTGCAATGAACCCAGAATTGTTGGTAATTTGTCTTGCAATTCACAAATGATGCCGTTCCTCTTATGTCCCTAGTGGAATTCATAGTTAACCAAAACCAACCTGACTCCTTGCTTTCATTTATCTATAACTTAGAGTGATGTCATTCATTCAGCTAACGTTTATTAGCAGTTTTGTGGGTCACGTTGAGCTAGGCACCGAGAACACAAGATGAATAACATGAGAAGCCTCTGGCAAATGCAGCTGTTCCACAAATAGCCTAATGCCTGCGGTTAAGTATTGCAGTTGGGGAAGTCCTTGGACCCTGAGGTCTAGAAAGAGACTCAACAAATTCTTGGGGTTGGCTGAGATAACATCTGAGCTGGCTTTGAGGGGCGAATAAGTTCAAGAGGGAAAGAGTGAGAAGGCAGATGGAGTGGCATAAACAAAGTCTCCAAAAACTTTCATTTATAATGTTGTGTGCTTTCACAAAACACATCATTTTTATAATTAAAACCCAGGTTAAGTGATTTGCCTAAGATCATGGCTAAATAAGAGCAGAGCTGTCATTCTCAGATGCAGTTTATGCTCTGTCTACGTCTAAGGCACAAGCAGGTGCTGGGATCATGTGAAATCTAAGGAGATTATCTGATACAGCCCCTTCATCTCACATCACACTGCTTTCTTACTTAATGATTTATTGTGTAGTGTTTTCTACTGGATCTTGGTCTGATTTCTACATGCACGGGCCTAATTTCTTTCAGAGCATGTGATTATAAACATAGGCCAAATGTATGTGTGGCGGAGAGGCTCAACAGCAACCAACATCGCTTTTCACTGTAGGTGAGCTGGCAGTTCAATTTCATCTTTCTGCCCAAAGAGAACTTACTGATTGTAAAAACCCAAGCACATCCAGTCTTCCTGTCTTCATGAAAGATTGTACTTTCAGTTTGGAGAGATGCATCTGAGTCCATTCTGTATGGGAGTGGTAGAGCTTATGTTATGGTGGAGTTTACACCTGAGAACGGCAGACACCTGCTGAATCATAGTTTCATGGATGAAAATGCTCTGGGAGCATATGGGCCTCCCAACCACTAGCGTAGGCTTTGGAAAAAGTGTCCACAGCCTGCCTGATGCCTTTGGTCTAAACACTGGTAAGAATGCGTTACTTTTCCACCTCACTTCTCTGGCCACTGGTCAGCCAAGAACAAGTGCCTAGATACCCATTTTCCTACCTGGTTCCCCTGACTCCCTGAAGAAGTTGCACAAACAAGCTTAGTATTTACAGAATGTTGAGCAAAACCTTTATTAAATATACTAGCAGACAATTAGCGAAATAAAAGCACAAAACAATAGTTGGTAAGGAAGAGGTACAGCCCTTGAGAGGCAGATTCCTGAGAGAGGAGAGGAGAAGGGCAGATGTCAACTGGAGAATTACACATTGCCAGCCTCAGGGAGAAGCTCAGAGAACCCCCTCTCCCTGCTTCCCATCCTATTTCCAAGACAGAGAAGTTCTAAAGAAAGTCAGTGAGGAATGGGGTCCCAGGAACACAGAAACCATGGTTATTGGCAGGGCTGATTTTAGTGGGAGGAGCACTTGCATTAGCAATAGACCTGGTTAAAGCCACAGGCACCATACAGCCTGAGAGCCCTTCCCAATTCTCTTATGAGGATGCAGCTTAGGAGGAGGGAAGTTAGGACTTAGCTCAGCTCTGTGCTGGGTCTTAGGGAAGACAGCACCTCACCATTCTCTTTCTTTCTCCTGCCCCTCAGGAGGATAACATGGCAGAGTGGGGCTCAGGGTGAAAGGGGAGACCATTTAAGATAGCTTCTAGGACATCATTTGCGTTAGAGAAAAGAAAGCTCCTTTGAATGCCCAAGTCCAGCACAATGGTAGGAAAGCCATGGGGATTTGAGACTGAAGGGCAGGCTGGTAATAGTGCTCATTTGTCTGCTGTGTCCCTATGCATAGATGCCTCAGGAATCTAGATGGAGATGAGTTTGGAGAATGAGAAGGGCGCTTGCTCACCAGACTTGACTTGCCGTTACTATATATCACCAGCATGCGATAGCCAGCAATACTCCCCACTGGGCATTGGTCCTCTATGTGTCTGCTCCCCATTTGCCTTTCTGATAGAAATACGAGGGAAGACACATTCAACTCAGTCCCCCTGTAGTCACACGAGGGAAGACACATTCAACTCAGTCCCCCTGTAGTCACACGCCATCTGACTTCTCTCGACAAGCTTCTATCAGACACACCCTAAATGACTGTCTCATTGACCAATAACATAAACGGGCTCAGACACCCTGACCAAAGCATTTCCGCTGTGCTGGGACCCTGAATTGGAAGGAGCCCAAATAAGGCCTGGAAGCTGAACTTATTCCCCTGCTGTGGAAGAAAGAATGGGAAGCAGGCCCCATAGGGCTGGAGACACACTCTAGCACAGATGTGTGCCTGGTCACACATTTACTTATTTTAAATGGATTGATATGATTTATAAATCACCTTTATTCCAAAAACTATTTAAGGCTGCTTTATAAAAACTCACACAACACAATAAAATACAATTTTTTTAAGAAAGTGGGTTTAGAAATCTCCACAAAGGGAAGACAAGAGCAGGACAGATAAGATGAAGCCAGGTGTAAAATCAGCATGAGCAGCACCTGCTGTGAGAAAGACAAGGAGTCCTATTTGCTTGCAGGACGTAAGGAGGCAGATTCTGACCTTGAATTTAAATTAAGGCCATGGATCGATGGTGGATGCTCAGCTCTAGAGCAGGTGTTTGCCTTTGTGTTTCCCAGCCAAATGTGTCCATCAAGGTGACCTCTGGAAAAGATGGGGAAGAGTGAGAATGGCCTTCTTTAAATGTTGCAAAGGAATCTTAAGAGTTACATGGAATTCTGCCCCCCGCCCCGCCCCCGTCCCCGTCCCCCGTCCCCCCCCCCCCCCCCCCCCCCCCCCCCCCCCCGTCCCCAGCCAGTGCAGGAGTCTCCTCCCGTCACACAGGTCCAGTCATGGAGAGCTCCTCATAGTGCCCTGAAGGCTGCCTCCCGGTGACTGATGAAGTTGCAGATAAAGGGTTAAGCTTCACAGGAGAGTCCTGCTCAAATTTGGGAGGATGTGTGTGTATGTGTGTGTGTGTTGGGGGAGGGGAGGTGCTATTAGCCAGATGATGCTGTGGTGGGCTGAAAAATGGCCCCCCAAAGATACCTGGGCCAAAGATATAATCTCCGGAACTTGTAAATGTTACCTTATTTGGAAAAAAGTCCTTCACAAATGTGATTAAGACTCTTGAGATCGCCAGATTATTCTGGATTATCCAGGTGGTCCTAAATGCCATCACACATGTCCTTATGAGAGAGAGACAGAGGGAGATTTGACACACACACAGGAGGGGGTGATGTGAAGATGGAACAGAGATTGGAGTGATGTGGCCACAAGCCAAGGAATGACAGCGGCCAACAAAAGCTGGAAGAGGCAAGGAGTGGTTCTCTGAGAGCTTCTGGAGGGAGTGTGGCCCTACGGACACCTGGATTTTGGCCCAGTGACACTGACTCTGGACTTCTTGCCTCCAGAATTGTGACAGAGTAAATTTTCAAGCCACCGAGCTTGTGGTAATTTGTTACAGCAGCCACAGGAAACTAGTAAAATCTCTAGGCACCTTTATGTTCTCCCCACTTAGCTATTTATCTGTGTCGCAATGGGACATTATCATTCAATCTGCTGGCTGAATACACTGTGTGAACCCTTTCCACAGATTCAGGATGCATTTCCTGATAGGCTCCAAGAGTCAACTTTAGTCAACAGAATAGGGCCTGGCAGGTAGTAAATTGTATATGTAAATATTTGTTAAATAGGAGTCAATAAATAGAATCCTGTTTTGGGTCCTGAGGTTCTTGCTTTTGTAATGCTCTTCCTCTGTTGGTTCATCAGGAGTTAGACGACGTTTTATTTTCGAGAACGTTTTAAGTTTAGTTTTGGGTTAATAACTTTTCAGAATGTGTTCCCAATTTTATAATGAAATGGTTAGATATGTTAGATACCAGGAAGGTACACACAACTTTTAAGGATGGCAGCTGTTGCACTGAGGAAAGAATACAGTGAAATGCTCATTTTCTTCTACCGCTTCTTTCCTTGGAGACAAAGGACTAATATTTAAACCTGGTTCTAGTCATTTGAGTTCCCCATTTGCTTAAAACTCTCTTGGTCTCTATTCCCAACTATCTGAAGAACAGTCATTTATCCTTTTTTTTGCAAGGGAAGATAGGCCCAGGGATCCTCTGTTAGACTAGGAGTAGAGGCCAAGGTTTTAGTCCCAATTCTGTCACTATATGCTTGTGTGACCTTGAGCAAATCCCTTAAACATTCTAAACTTCAGTTTCTTCACGTAAGACTGTGATTTTAAAATATTTTTAACTTTTCTGATTGATGTTTTGTCTTGTTGTAAATATCTAAAAATACGCTTTCTTTGGCTCTTATAATACACCATGATGTTTTCTTCCTAATTTCAGTTCAAACACTCCGATAGAAAATCTTTTAACAAAAGGCCAATTGTCTATTTTCATGTGCCTTATTAGTTTATATTGTGCCCTCATAAAGTAAGTGCTTTTCTCCTTTGGTTCTTGGCCTTGTTGAAAACTCAGGAGCCAGCGGGGTGGGACTCTGTCCATGTAGCCACTGCATGATGATAACTGACCTGTGATTGTGATTATGAGGCAGGTTTTCTAGAATGGCTTGAGGGTATGTGCTTTTCAATAAAAGTGGGGATATCTAAAAGTGATTTAACTTTTATACCTCCAGGTGGATTTTCTTATAAATATCTTTTTTTTGTTGTTAGACCACATCTCAATTTTGGGGGGCAAGTGGTGGCTTGGAAGACATGGACATTGTTCTCAAGCACTGAGCACCACCACTACCTTCTAGCTTCCCAGTGTAACCAACTGAGCAAGCCTGCCATCTCAGGGATCGTATTTAAACAAGCATTAAAGAAAAGTCAGGGCAAATTTAACAGCTGTAAAATCTAGGTGGTGGATATATGTGTTTTCACTGTACGATTCTTTCACCTTTTTTGTATCTTTTAAATTTTTCATAAAAGATATTGAAAATGTAGGGCTACCGACCAGTCAGATAAGATGAATTTCCTGGGCTGTGCAGTGGGGTGGGACATGGGGAGGGGGCAAACTAGTCACTCTTTCCAAGTGGACCTACAGGCCATTTGAAGGCAGTCTTTCTGCCTTCTTCCTGGAGTCTTACCCTTCCTTTTCTCACTCTGAGGCATGATGTAATAAATAACATGCTGAATGGAGCCTGAGACAGAGTTGCATCAGATGGGTTTCCTTTGCGCTGTGGTCCTCTACCCAGTCCACAGCCCTCAGCTCACTCTGCTCATGGGCACCTCACTGACACCAAGGAAAGGAGTTTCTAATACTTGTTTGCCTGTTTTGTTTGTTTTGTTTTTTCAAGATTAACAAATACTTTTATGGTCATCAAGAAAGACTGGGGATGTTTTTAGTATGAATTTATAAATGGATGATGTGTTTATCTTTACTTAGCTGAGTTAGATTAAATATTTGAACAGCTATGATCAGTGTATCACTTTTTTGTCATTTTTTCCTAATACTTGTTTTTTAATTGACTTTTTCCTTTTGGTTGTATGCCTTTGAACCATGTTTTCTTCCTCTCTCCTTATTAACATTTATAGGCTCCCTCTGGTGGCTGACAGGCCTGTCCATCCTGTGGCTGTGATGTTACCCCAATTGGTTTTGTCTCTTTTCACTTTGGATTCTTCTTTTTAACTATCTGTGTTGGTTTCACTGTCCTTGGGATAAATTACAACTCATGAGGCCCTCCATAATCCGACCTTTATGTGACTTCCTAGTGTCATTTGTAAGACTTGCCCTGCCACACTCCGCCCTGCGGCACTGTACACTTGCAGTTCCCTTCATATGCACGTCACACTCTCTGCCCTCTAGGACTTTGCACGCGTTGTTATTCTTCCAGGGATAACGGAAAGTTCCTTTCCTTTCCCCCTCCTCTGGGAAGACTTTTTCACCTCCTAGGACTGGAACAAGTGTTTCTATTCCGTATTTCCCTAGTGCCCTATACTCACCCCTTTATAGCACCTACCACACTGCACTGCAATGATCTACTCATACTTCTAAATCCATCAAGACTTAGTAAACTTTAAGAGGGCCAATCTTATTCACCACTGGACTCACTGTGTCTGATACACATATAATAGGTGCTCAGTAAACATCTGTTGAATGACTAAGTAAATAAGGAATGGAAGAACAGCTGACTGAAACAGGGAGAGAGAAAAGGGGGGAGGTGCTGTCTCATCTAGTCATTTAATAACAGCTTTACTGAGATATAATTCACCCCGTGAAGTATACAATTCAGTGGCTTTTACTGATCTTATTTATTGTTGAATCAGCCAATTTTAAAGATGAACTTAGTTACAGGGGAAGATACTGAACTGAACATTTAGAAAAGCTCAGTTTATTTTGACTTTATTAAAAGCGTTTCTATTATTTGAAGAACACAATATATTATTTAAAGACATTATTTAAAGCCAGTAACTTAACATTTAAATTAGAAAGATATAAACATGTCAAAGGAATGAAACATAGGTCTTTTATTATGTGTGAATCATGAATCCACGTTCCTCTTTCAATTCAAATGCTTACCGGAAGTTATCTATAACGTATATTGCACTTCTTGCATACATCAATCCCTCTACCAACATGCCTCGTGTTTGTGTGAGTGTTTCAGTGTGTGTCTGTGTGTATCTGTGTGGGGTGTAGTGGCTTCCTGTATATGGGGGGTGAGGGGTCGCAGGGCTGGGGTGTCCAATGCCATAACCATTGCTTTCTTGTTCAGGAAGTGTATCCGAATCCTTGCTTCATTTTGCTCAACAGAAATGAGGAGCTTGGTTTATATTTTCTGTCTTCTCTTTTCGAATGCAGCTGGTCATGCCACAGATAGTAAAAAATAAAACTGTGGATAATAAGAGAAGTATTTAGAATGGTGCATACAATTGAAAATCAGATCAACAAATACTAGGGCAGGCCCTGTAGTGTGGAAGACACAGAGGAAGCTCAGGCATGGTTTCTCCTGGCACTAAACTTTTAACCAGGTTGGGGGAGTCAGGCATAAACACATGGAATTTTTTTTTGTTTTGAGGAAGATTAGCTCTGAGCTACCATCCACTGCTAATCCTCCTCTTCCCACTGCCCCCCCCCCACCGCCCGAGGAAGATTGGCCCTGAGCTAATATCCGTGCCCATCTTCCTCTATTTTGTATGTGGGACACCTGCCACAGCATGGCTTGATAAGCGGTACATAGGTCTTCGCCCAGGATCCAAACTGGCAAACCCAACGCTGTCAAAGTTGAGTGTGTGAACTTAAGCGCTGTGCCACCGGGCCGGCCCCAACACATGGAATTTTAATAGAAGACATAGACAAGTATAAAACATGAGATAACATAAAAGAGGATAATGGTTTTCAAATGGCTGTTAGACAGATGACCTTATTTTCCTAACCAGAAACTATAATGGGTAGCTTGACAGGGAGAAGGCTTATGGAAGCGGGGGCAAAGTATCTGGCTCTGGGACAGTCTCAGAAGATCCAGGACACATGACTGCTGTGGTGTTGAGCTGGGCACTGGGAGATCCAGGGAAGGAATGAGCAGACAGACTTGAGTTTTTGGAAAGTCTTCATTCCACAGAGAAGCAAAGGTGATTATCTGGTTAGGCGGAGAAGAGGCCACTCAGGGCCTGGGAAGAGCATAAGACATATCTGGAGATGAGAAGAAGACTCCAGTAGAAAGTGGGTAGGAACATGCCTGTGGAGAAGAATTAGGACAGATTATGGGGGATCACACTAAAGCTTAGAGAAAACTAAAAGATGTTTCTCAGGAAGAGCCTAGAAACTCTTGTGTCAGCAATAAGAAATGATGCAAAATTTGGAGAGATATCAGAAGTGCTGGTTTATGAAGATTTATGTGGCAGTGGTACAGGTTGAACGCTGGTGAGGAGATTACTATAAACTTTTAAGTGGGAGATAATGAGGACTGAGCTGGGTCTGAGTGAAAAGATGATAAGGGACATTTCCAGAGAAAAGCTATCAGGAAAGATTCTGTTTTGGTGGGTAGAGGGGGATGACACTGAGCTCAATTTTAAAGGTAATGGCAGGGTCATCCTGGCATCATCTAGGAGCAGTGGAAGGGCACAAGGGACCTGGCAGAGGGGGAGAGCTGGAGGCGTTAGATCTGGAAGGAACAGGGCCTGGGTGAATGGTTCACGCTGTGGTACTGCCAAAGCCGAGGGTGTGGACAGCAAGAGAGAGAAGAAGAGGACTGAGGACAGAATCCTGGAACAGACAGGGCAGTCGGTGAAGAAGAAAGACCCGACAGAAAGGGAACGGCAGCCTGTTTCAGAAGGAGGGGCTCTGAGCCAGCAGCTCCCCGAGCAGAGCTCAGGAGAAGGAATCTGCAAAAGAGCTGGCCCCTGGCTTCCCTCTGAGTTTTAGGAGTGCAGATTCAGGAGGCTATGGGAGAAAGTAAGTTTTACAAAGAGGAAAGGTGGTGAAGAAACAGGCTTAGACAGACTGTTCTAGAATAAAGAGCTGTGTGTGTACATTGGCAGGGGGAAGCAGCCAGTGTAGAGGAGGGAGGGTGATGAAGAAGCAATGCCTCGGAAGACCCGGAAAGGACGAGAATTAACTGAGCACGAAGGGAGACTGAGGCAACAGGATTGAGGATGTGGACAGGAGAGGTGGAGAAGGCAGAGCCACGATCTACAAGGATACGTAGGAAAGAGGAAGAGTGTGGCCTCAGCTTTCTCTCATGTGGGTCACGGACGCAGCCCGTTTCCTTCAGCTATAGTCTGTTTCCTACTCGCCTCACCACCTGTACCCCCTCACTCCCCAGTCCAGCCTTCGAGAGTCCGCTCCAGGATCCTACGTCTGAACACAGGCTGCAGGGAGGAGCAGGCTTTGACCCAGAAGTCTGACTGTGACCAGAGGGAGAAGGACATTTACAGGTTGGAAACAACCCCAGAGAGGAAGCTGAGCACAACTCTGAAACATGAAGGAAGGAAGGAGGAAAGAAGACCGACGGCCAAAGAAGTTCTGAAACGGAGAAGAAGGAGGCTCAAGGAGTTTGTAAGAGTCTCGATTCTCAGCAACGTGAGAGCAGACACGGGAGTAAGGAGCACGGGCAAAGTTTCAGAACAACAGCTTTAAGGCCATTTGCTGGCAGGTTCACCAGAGGTGACTACAAGACAGAGGAGCAACACAGAGGTCCCGACGAGGCTCTGTGCATACGCAGGGGTGGGCTGTGCAAGCAACACTCGCCATGCATTATGGAGAAAACAGATGGGGAGCCTCACCCAAACAGCTCTAGCAAGGCATGTGTGATGGAAGGGCAAGAAGCTGATGGATTTCAAGGGACTAATGGAGAATAACTCAGCAGCAGCCTACAGGTGCCAGGCGTGGTTAAAAGACAGGCAATGTAGGTCAGAAGCAGAGGAAAGGCAGAGGTTAAGGGACTAGAGGTAAAAAAGGTAGCAAGAAGCAGGGGTGGTGGAAGGGAAGGAGTAGGATGTTGGAAAAGGGTAGGAGACAGTTGTCAGTGGTGCCAATTGCAGAGTCTGAGACCTCAGTAGGAGTGAGTTGGAGTAGAGGTGTTAGAGAAATTGTGAGAATAGGGCCCTAGAAGCAACAAAAACAAAGATGCTGATGTCACAGAGGACGACAAAAGAACCAAAGTGAAGGACCCTGGGAGACATACTAAAGTCCTTGAGGGAGACGGAGGCATCTAGAGGCAATTAGGTGCTGGGGGGTTGGGGGGGGCGGTTATGGAAGGGCACACATTTATTTTACAACAACATCTGTCTAATTTGAGGAGGATACTTGTCTGAATGCATGAGCACTAAGATGCTTTTGTACCTCTTCAAAAGTCTTGAGGTTTATAGACGGCACAATCACTTCCAATGTCCCATTCTATCCTCTGGAAGAAGTAGACCATGGTGCTTTCCAGCAGTAAGCCACTCAAGATGGCCAAAAAGGAGAGCTTTCGGTTGATGTTTAGGGTCACTGGAAAAGAAAAAGCAACTAATAAGTTCTTAAGAGTTTAATTAAATGATATTGGCATGTAAATCACGCAGTAGTATGAATGGAATTGTTCTGTAAAGCTGTTTGTAGAAAATCTCTCTGTTCTTATTACTCTGTGCTGTTATCTCCTCCCGCTTTTCCATTTGCAACGCTTTGAGAGAACCAAAGCACCCGCTTATAACAAAAACACTAAGCTTCTCCTCCTCAAAGACACAGATTCCCATGAATATTACCGGCAAAAGTAAAAAATATGTTCTAGAGTTATAAAGACAAGAGAAAAAAAAATTGCTATTCTTGGTTTTACAGTTTACAAGATGATAAATGTTATGATAAACATTATGATAAGAATTATCAGGTTCATTTAAAATAGCACTTCTCACAATGTGTAGGGAAAATGAAGACACACTGCTTCTTCCTTCCTTGGTATAGCAGCAATTGTCCTGAGGCAAGCAGATACCTGGCATCCTGTCCTTGCCTGACAACTGCCCTGCCATGTAACTCTGGACAAGTCACTACGAGCTCATTCATAAAGTGGAGGTAATAACGGCTGCTCTACTAACCCCACAGGATAGAAACAATGCATATGAAACCATATTGAAAACTAAAAAGTACCATGGGGTTTAATTGAACAAATACTGAATATGTGCTATGTTTGAGGCACTATAGAAATGTCAGGCATTGTTATCATTCTGTAAAGAATTCCTGTGTTTAACAGGTTATATAAAAACCATGCTCTGCAAACAAGCTTTAAGTTTTTATATGGGTGAAAGCTGAGAAGACAGAATGAAACATAAACATACCTCTAATTGCCTGAAAGTTTGATGTAAGGACAAATACTTTAATGAGTCTGAGGCACAGGGGTGTGTAGTCATGTTCCCAAATGACAGCTGGAATCAGCAAGAGTTTTCCGTAGCTCGACAATAACAATGCTTTCAGCAGCAAAACGAAGTTGGGTTTTTTTTCCGCTGTCATAGGTCGCACTACCCACAGGAAAGTAAAAATGCCAATAAAAAAGGCAGTTTGTTCTAAGGAGGAAATGGAAAATAAAAATATGAAGGTCTTTATCCAAACTATATCCCCCCAAAAACAAATAAACCACAATCCCAAAATACAACTTATCAGATGACTTCATAAGAAATGCTTTATCAAGATAAAATTTTCTTTTTTAAAAAAAAAATAATAACCCCCTGCCTAGTGTGTCAAATCCTGCTGGTATGATTTCAGAAACATATTTCAACAATTCTTTCACGAAGTATTTAATCATCCGCTGAAGAAAACATAACTCCATTAGAATTCTAATCATCAACCTTCTGAAGTTCCTACTAGGTAGTAAGATGCTGTTTCAACATCTTCAGTGTTAGAGCTCTCACAAAGAATAAAACAGGAGAATGGGGGCTGTTAATCTGAGAGATGGGACCCATCTTAAGAATTACACATGAAGACATGTTTTTTGTTCATTCTTCCACTATTTATTGAGTGCCTATTATCTACAAGATTTTGAACACTGTTACCTAAATTGAAAACTTCCCTTATTCATTTTACAAACTTTTCGAGTGTAATTCCTTATCCTTCCAGGAAGTATTCAGAGACAGCGTCCAGAGCAGAAGCAGCAATAGTTCCGCTTGTGTCCCAGGGTCAGAACAGAGCACGATCTGTTCTGTTCCCATTAACCAGGAATTTAACATTTCTTTTCACTGCATTTTTATTTTTATTAAGATTGTTAGTCCTCTGATTACCCAGCTGCATTCATTATGAGTAGTCTGTCCCTAATTGTATTTTTTCCCATAAGCTGTGTTATTTAGGTTTCTGCAGAATCAAGTTTTTCTGGAACACATATATCATATTATAGGAGAAACAACAACCTTCTTCCTAAAATGTTTTATAACTCAATATAGCCAAACTAAAGAGGTTCCAAATATAGGTGATTAGGATTAATAACAATAATTGAGGACGGTTGATCTGCATGAAATTGGATATATTCCTCAAGGGAGACACGTGCTCTCCCTGCAAAACAATTGAAGGCTTGTCAACGGCAAGGACCTGCTCAACAGGCAGACCTTATAGCCTGGATTTTGGACAAAAAAGTAATAAAAGCAATAAAGAACTCGCTAACAAGAAGGACCATGGAACCACAGCGTGTTGTCCCCTGCGCTGGGGATACATAAAGGTAGCCCATCCTGCAGAATGGAGAGCGAAGGGTTTCTTGCCCTGGATAGAAGGGTGGACTAGATCAACTTCCACATCTCTCTAACTGAGAACTCGGGCGATTTATGGAACTGCACCAGCCCCTCGGGCTCAGCACAATCTTTCACAAGGTAGAAGTTACAGAGCCCTCACTCCTGAAGGCTTTCAAAGATGAGGCAGATTCAGCAGGAGCTGCTGCCTAGGCACAGAGTGCTGCTGTGTAGAGAGCACCCGGTGGGGAGCCCAGAGCCCGTCCCACCTCAGTGCTGACACTAGCCTGCTGTGGGACTTGGGGAAAACCACTGGCCCTTCCTACTTCTATGTTTTCCACAGCTATAGATACGGGAGAACCCCCAACCTACCTACCAGAGAGGATGGATGTGAAAATTGAGCTGATAAAACCACAAAAGCACTGCTTAAATTATAAAATGCCATATTTATGTAAGAGATTTTTTATAAGTCGTTTTAGGGGTTTGTCACCTAATTATGGATCAGATTAAGACACATAAAAAAGTTAAGTAACAGGAGAAAGACATTTCTGATTGAGGGTCAAAATATCCACTATAGAGTAGGTGCATAGGAATTCCAAACTATTTGAAAATAAGCTTGTTTTGTTTATATTAAAAATTATGTACATAAAGGAGTTTATCTTTAGAAACTTTAAGAGGCTTGTTTTAAAGCTTAAAATTACATTAGGTTCTAGTTCTTGGCTTAGGTGATGCATTCATGGTGATGGTTTTTAATATTATTATGTAAGTTTGGGAATTCTCAGCATATAGATGAATTCTAAAACCACAGGACTGCCTGAGAGGACCAAGGCATGAGGGCAGATAGAGAAGAAAAGAGAATAAAAGAGAACACACAGTCCAGAAATATGAGTGAACTGGAGACTTAAGATTACTAAAATAATGGTTCATTATAATCAAACAATTTTAGAAGCAGAGAAGCACCGAAACCAGTAAGTAATAAAATCGTTACAGAAATCAGTTCCATACAATTCTGACCTAAGTCACAAATTCAGATTCTGAAGAAAAGCAATTTCTGAATGTAAGGATTTTGGAAAGTCACCAGTTTTCCTGTGTGCAGTCAGATAAATAACAAGTTCTCCCTATTAGTACATTACATTAGTACATTAGCATTAGTACAATACATTGGATAATCTCTGGAAATTATCAATCTGTTTTAATAAAGATGGGACCTAGGTAATCTTCACATTGGATAATCAACTTAAATTTAGGAATTTCATCAACAATATTTTATCTCAAAATATTTTATGAAACTCTCTAATCTGATAAGCATAACTACTTCCATACCATACGTGTGATAACAAAAAAGTAAGAAAGCAGATAACTTAGACGAACTCACCTAGCAGGTTAGTGGTAGAGCTGAAAATTTAGTCTCAAGTCCTATATCAACTAGCTCCTCTTACCAATGATTAAGACCACACGCCTCACTTTTAATCAGAAGAGTAAGTCCTAGTTAACTAAGAATAGAAAAGCATGGCTTCTTCCTACCTAGAGAAGCAATTGCAAACATTCTATAGAAATCCCACTCCTTGGCATATCTGATGAAGTCATCAGGATCAGTGTTCTGGTTTGAATCTTGAAGCTGCCACCATCGCAGGTATGCTTCACAAAGCAAACAAAATATGCAGAGTTTTCCATGCATCTGGTGGTCAAAAAGACATGGCCGTTTCATTAGGTAAAAAAACACTCTATTGGACGTAATACCAGTAGGCACAGACCTAGAATCACTGCTTTAAATAGTAGTTCACACTTCGTTGTATTTCCAACATTTGTCCTATATACAGAATCAAGCACAGAATTTATGTGACTAATGGACAGGTGGAAGTAGCAATAAGGGAACAGGTTTAATTTGAAGATTCCACATCTCACAGGAAACTATTAGTCTGAACACGAATCAAAAAAATGCTCCTAGGCTGAATGTAAAAACTAATATATAAACTAATATATTGAAAGACAGCAACTAAAGGGTGGCAACTCAGCTGGAGGTTCTAAAGAGGCTGAAATTTTGGCAAAAACAGAAAATACTAGGCAACAAGAATTGGCTTTTTTCTATACATTTCTTCTATAGGTTGAACTTTCTCTGTTACTATAAAGTGGGGCAAAACAAGGGTGTACGCAAACTCAGTGCAGTCCAGGGACACTTATCAGTGTGAGCCGCTCAGGTTCCCCTAGCTGGCACGCTGGTTCTCCTGGCTGCACTCTGGAATAGCCTGGGGAGTTTTAAGAAATACTGTCGCCTGGATCCCATCCCCTAAAGGGTCTGATTTAATTAGTTCTGGGTGAGGCCTAGACTTGGAAGGATTAACAGCCACCCCTCCCCCTCTCCCAGGTGATTCTAATGTGTACCAAAGTTTGAGAATCGATACTCCAGTAATTTAAAAACTGCCCTCGTTATTCAGCTTGGGGAAGGGAGCACAGGGATAAATAAACTGCACTGTTACTGTCCATGTTAGCTCAAATTTAGGGTTGTCAGATTTAAATATGAGTTTCAGTTAAATATGAGTTTCAGATAAACAACAAATAATTTTTTTGTATAGGTATGTTCCAAGTAATATTTGGGACATATTCTAAAAAATTATTCATTGTTTGTCTAATTTTCTTTTTGTAAACAAAATTATTTTATCGAGGTCACACTGGTTTATAACATTGTGTAAATTTCAGATGTATATTATTCTATTTCAGCTTCCGTAGAGACTGCATTGTGTTCACCACCAAAAGTCTAGTCTCCATCTGTCATCATACACATGTGTCCCTTTACCCTTTTGCTCGCCCTCCCCCACCCCTTTCCTCTCTGGTAACCACCTATCTGTTATTCTCCTTATCTATGTGTTTATCTTCTAATACAGGTGAAATCATCAAATTTAATTGGGTGCCCTGTGTTTTGTCTGTCAACTCTACCCAAACTATTAAAGAGTTCACAATTCAATACACTAAAGGAATATTTTGAAAAATCCAACTTTATAAATTAGGACTTTTCTGATTAAGCTCAATGTTGTTATTCACCTTATGCATTTCCTCAACAGTGGAGTATAAAATGGGACAAATTACGTTTTAAAATATTTTTCTTTTAATGTTTAGTTACCTTTTTTAGGTATAATTCTCTCCCTACCTGGATATATTTAATTTTCTTCTGTGCCAAATAATTGATGTCTGTTTCAAAAAGTAACCTACTAAAAGGCAATCCAGATTATGGTTTGTCAGTTTCTTACGGGTGACCACATTCTTAAATATTCACTAGACATTGTACTCCTTTTTTAATCAATGCCTGCTATTTCCAGAAACTTTCATACATTGCTGAGATAAAAGACCCACCCTCATTACAATTTCTTTTTTTAAATAATGTTCTTTAATTCTGTTCACACTTATTATTATTCTTTTAAAATGAAAAAGCATCATCAAATAAAATTAGAAAATAAAAAATTATCACCACTTACGTTTATTTTAGTATTGAAAAGAATATGCCTGTAGGCCTGGGCTTTGCATAAAATAGCATTAATCAAGATGATAACAGGATCATACTCAATATATTTGTCTACAGGTTTCTGACAGGATTTCTGAAATAGTGCAAGATAATATTAGAACAAGCAAATTTATACATTCTGAAATCTTAAAGGATTTCGAAACAGCAGAGTCTACTTTGGACTTACATAGTAAGAAGGTCATACCAGCATTTATTTAAATACATTTCTATTCAGATACAAAATGTACATCTATATAAGGCCTGATTTCAGAAGAGACCAAATATAATCTTCTAGGCTAGAAATATTAATCTTTTAATCTCATATTTAAGAAGCTGAAAAGATATTTGATTTAAAGACTGACTTTAGCAGAAAAGTATTCCAGAAAATTCTACTTTCAATCTGTTGGAATTGCTAAAAATAAATTTATGAAATACTTTCATTGATAAATTGTTGCGTGTTGGCTAGATGGCCCCCAATTTTGTGGTTCTTGAAACATGATCTAGAGAAAAGCATTCAGAAGAGAAACTCTGCACCTAGAGCTTCCAAGAGCTACAAGTGGGTACAGAATGGGGCACACAGTGCCATCAATCCTGGTGGCAGATACCAAAAGAAGCTTGTTTTTTTCTCCGGTAACATTGAGAATATGGAAAGAACATGGTCTTTCTCTGCTACTGTAGAAACACCAGAGAACACTGGGCCGTGTGTGAGGAACTAGGTTGTGCAGCCCGGTCCAGATTACCCAATCAAGGCTCCTGGGGCTCCCAGCAATTCCTATTAAATGGCTTTTTTTTTTTTGACATGGGTGATTACAGTGTTATCAAATCCCAACACCATTACAATATATAAAATGCAGATATACAAGAACAAGCTCATTAGAAATGTGACATTTGAAACGGTATTAGTTACAAAGTTGCATCAGGGCTACTGTTCACTGCATAAACTAATGGCTACGATTCAAACAAAACATTTTGAAACTATGACAGATTAAAACGGAAATAGAAGTGATGGATATGCAGACATACAGGATGGCCTTTTAATTACGTCACAGTGCTAGAAGAAAAATGAAGTGCACTGAAGAATTTTAACCCTGCACTCCAAACGTCATGAGAAATTAGATCCACTTCCAACTTAAAGAGTTTCTTGACTTCATTCACGTCATTACAAGAAATGAGTATGTTTTTGAGTCATCAAGTGAACCAATGAAGGGAGATGTGCTATTACTTCAAATTTAAATCCACCAAACAAAACTGAGGCATAAGAGGTTCATAATTTTGCAGTTTTTTAGCTGAGCAAAGAGTAAGCTGGTGTCTAAACAGGAGCCACAGAATCAGAAATTCTATATTCATGACAAAGAGCTGTCTTCTAGATCCCTTCCCCGTGCTACCCACGTAGAGAACAAGTCTTCTCTCTATACAAACATGACTGGAAGACTTGAGATGCTACTGCATTTTAAAATGAAACTGCTGACTGGCCAAGGGCCCTCTTTCTGTCCTTTAAAAGTTCTCTAAAACCCATCTTCAGACAGCATCACAAGTCTAAGATGGAATCCAGACAATTTTTAGAAAGAGGTAGGCAGAAAGCGGAAGCAGGAGACACAGCAACTCTCATTTCTTTTGCAATCACTTGTCTGACACATGTGTTTGGAGTGGCTATTACATTCATTATGACAGCTCTCTTAGCCATTTCTATGGACCAGGCACTTCCAAGGTATTAGATATACACCTTAAGACATGAATCTCTATCCTCAAGGACCTTATGGTTTAGAAGGGGAAGACAAACAAACATACCACTCTAAGTGCTACAGTGGAACGAGCACAGGGTGACGTGAACCCAAACAGAAGGGGCAGCTTCTGGTGTCACATGCCATGCCCATCTTCCCTTCCTAGCATTCTGAGTATTTTATAAACATTGAGAATTCACTAAGTCTGCTGGTTCCCTCCCCATCAGTTTAGGCCTAATTCTTCCTTGTTCTGCCTCTATTATTTGCTTTTCCCTTGAGAGCTTCCCTCATTTTGAACATAAGGAGGAAACCCACACACACGAAACAAACCAATGTAACAAAACATCCTATTGGGAGATAGCAAAATTTAGTGGATATGTTTTCTTATTTTGGCAAAATTGTTCCATTCCATATCATTTACGACTTAATATATTGACAACTGTCCTGAAAGAGAACGTTGTCCTCTAAGAAATCACTACAGCACAGGAACCATGCACACCCTGGGAACTCGAACATCGCTTCCACCACCTCGATCTTTACAAAGCTAGGACTTACTTTCTGCTGCTCTGTTCTCCACTTCCCTCATGAATCACCTCTCTTTCAGAATATAAACTGACCAAACCAATCTTTTCATGAATATTCTTGCTACTGTTTCCTTCCATCATCTCTAGGACCATCCCCTTCCCCACTGATTCTCAAATCTGTGTAATTTTAGTTCCACAATAAGCAAACACATATCTTAAAAGTGGAATCCACGAGACTTTACGCTCCTCAAGGCCAGGGCTGTGTCTTATTTATTTTGCATCTGGCACCCATGGGTGGAAGCTCAGCACTATAGTACTGCACAGAACGGAAACTTGCAAGAATCTCAAAGGAATCTTGTTTTGTTTTGTTACCATAATGAATTTATCAAATATCTGAGCACTTAAAATAGGCCAGGCACTATAGGATACTAAAAGCCTTATATCTTTAAGCATAATCATGATAAACTGTGAAAAGCCGAAGCAGAGGGAGTAGCTAAAAGCAAGGGACATGCTTCCAATAGATGGGCGAAAATCAGGGAAACAGGAAAGCTGGGGGAATGGCAGTGGAAAAACAAGAGCAAAGAGAAGGAGACTAGGATGAAAAATACAGGTACGAGATCAGGCTGAGTATACTGTGGACTCCAAACTTGGCAGGGAAGAGACCAAAGGACACGGGAGTTAGGCTGTAACCACTGAGAAACTCTGGACAATCTTTCATAACAAATAGCCTGAAGTCTAAAAACTTTTTACTTTTTAATCTGAGGACTTGGAAAGCCTCTAAAAAATTAATTATTTTAAGGTTTAATTTTCAGAGTCTAGCATCAACTAAATGATTTTTCCTGAGTAATGCTATTATGCATATTACTATGCATTAGCATGATAAAAACAAGGATATTACATACTCTATCTCATTAGGAAATGACAGTGTACAATAAAGAACCCATGATGTACTGTACCACCATTCACTATTCCAAATATAACTCTAAAATCTCTCTCCTGGGCGAGAGAATGTATATTTTGGGAGAAAAAAGTGGGGGAGGGTGTAGCTGTTGACAAACGGCTATCCAATAACTATTTTGTCTTTCCATAAATAAAGGTATAGAGAAGCCAGCATCTGATGATTAGGAAAGGGATTTTGTTGTTGTTAGCTTAATGCTAATAATAATAATAATAATAATAAAAGGTTATTTTATATTATTAAAGATCACTAACTAAAATGCACAGACAGTTACCAGCTTTTCTTTGGACAAAAGACTATTCACAGTTATGTGGTTGTCATATTTCAAATGGACCATTTAACTGGACCAGTCCAAAAGTCATTAAGTTTAGACCACGTTATAACTTACTGTTCTTTCCCTCGTACCAGAATGGCCAAGGATATGATTATCTAAATGCCTAGGAATCGTTCATGCAACAAATATTTATGGAGTACCTACTATGTGTCAGGTACTGTCCTGGGTGATCCAGTTCCATTAATGAATAAAATACACATACTCTCCGTCCTTTTGTAGCTTACATTCCAGGGAGAGGACAGGCAAGAAATAAAAAAATGTCAATTATATAGAATATTAGAAGATGATGAGTGGCATGGGAAATGATAAAGCAGGGAAGGGTGATACGGTGTACCAGATTTGGGAGGGGGATCACAATTTTTAATAGGCTGCTCAGAGTAGGCCTCTCTGATAGTCAGAAAAAATACTTGAAGGAGGTAAGGGATTAGCCATGCAGACGCCTGAGAGAAGAGTGTTCCCGGCAGAGTGCAAAAGCCTTGAGGAAGGAACTTGCCTGGATTGTTTAAGAAACACGAGGAGGCCAATGGGACTGCAGTAGGATAAGGGAGGGTGAGAGGAGCAGGAGACCACATAGGGCCTTATAAGCCAAGTCAGGGATTTTGGCCCTAATTCTGAGATGGAAAATCACTGGAAGGTTTGACCAAAGGAATGACATAACTTATCTTACATTTTAAAAGGATCAATCTGACTGCTGTGTGAAGAGACTGAAGAGGTGCAGGGGTGACATAGGGAGACCAGCTGAGTTATGATAACAGTCCAGGTAAGACATGGTCCATGGCTTGGACCACGGTTGTAGCACTATAGGTGGTAAGAAGTTGTGGATTCTGAACATAATTTGAAGATAGAGTAAAGAGGACTTGCTGAGTAACTGAATAAGGAATGTGAGAGAGAGGAACCAAGGATAACTCCACAGTTTTTTTGGTCTTAGGAACTAAAATGGTAGAGTTGCCATTAACTGTGAAAGTCTGAGGTGACCATTGAAATCCAAGTGGAGAAGTCAATTAGGTAGTTGGATATTCGAGTCTGGAATTTAAGGGAGAGGGTCAGACTGGAGGTATACATTTTGGAATTGCAAAAATTTAGATGGTGTTTAGACCTATCAGTCAGAATGAGCTCTTTGCTCTTCAAAGGAGAATGGGTAGACAGAAAGGCGCACAAACTAAGTCTTAGGGTACTCCATGGTTAAGAGGTAAGGGAGGTGATGCAAAACCAGAAAGGAGATGGAGAGGAAATAGCCAGTGAGGTAAGAAGAAAACTAGAAGAGCATGGTGTCCTGACACACACAGACAGCGTTTCCAGGAGGAGGAGGTCAAAGGCTGCTAACAGTTAACTGAGAATGGACTAGCAAAGTGGAAGTCAGTGGCGATCTTAACAAGAATAGTTTCTAGTGAAATGGTGGGTGGGAAGAAAGTCTGTCTCAAGTAGATTCAAGAGAAGCTAGGAGAGGAAGATAGTAAGATAAGGATAGCAAATACAAACATATCTTAAAGGATTTTTACTGACAAAGCAAGGAGAAAAAGACCAGGAGGGAAAGGAGGAAGTGCGGTAGAGAATTTTTTTAATGGTCGGAATGATTCAGAAGAGAGCAGAAGAGTACAGTCACGCATTGCTCAACGACAGGGATATGTTCTGATAAATGTGTCCTTAGGCGAGTTTGTTGTTGTGCAAACATCATGGAGTGTACTTACACAAACCTAGATGGTACAGCCTACTACAAACCTAGGCTATATGGTAACAATCTCATGGCCCCAATGTTGTATATGTGGTCTGTCATTGACAGATTATGCAGTGCATGACGGTACCACTACAGGGATGTCCTAAACTAAATGGAAGAGGATGAGATCTAGTGCACAAGCGGAGGCATTGGCTTTAGACAGGTAAACGAACAGTTCACCCACAGTAACAGGAAGAAAAACAGAGCATATGAATAACGAAGGCTAGCACTGCATTTATGTGATTGCAAAGCTTCTGAAAATTCTCCTTTGTTTTCTTAGTGAAGCAGGAGAGGATACATGAGAAACTTGAGGAGAGAGAAAGTATGTGATGATTGTTCAGAAAGTGGGAACTAGTGAAATATAACGTGAGGCCAGATGGCATCAAGGGCCTACATGAGGTTACGGGTCATGAACTTAAGGTGTTTCTTTCCCTAGCAATGTACAACTGCAAGGGGGTAGGGACAGTTCAGGCAATATGCTGGATTTAACCATGGCTGAAATTTTGCCAAGTGAGGGAAACCGTTTAAGAGAGGAAGATGAAATCGAGGGTGCATACAGCAGTGATTATAATGGCTGACAACAGATTAAATAGCTACACATTCATACTTTGTCTACTCTCTTTTATATTACTACAGGCCATGTTTTGCTAATGAGGATTATTACTAGAAAAACATCAGCAGATCAGAAATGGGACAAAAACATACTGACTACCTATTATGTGACAGGTTCTTTGCTAATGCGCCGAAAAGAAGGTCTAATTTTGTGACTTTTTAAACATAAGATCATTCTTTACAAATAGACTATGACCACCTTGAAAGCAAAATTTTTACTTCCTGATTTTTTATTTTTGTAGCACCAACGTCTAGCATAGTGCTTTGTGCACAATACTGTACATTAATAACCACGATGGTGTAAACCTGAAAAAAAAGTATTCTAGGAGCATTTAATACGGATTATGGAGTGTAAGGGTGGTAACGTGTCTATCAAAGGGAGAAAAACTAAGAATGAAATAGCTTTGGTGTGAACCATAATGCCGATCTTTAAATTTCTCTGCACAACGCCTACATCCATCTCCGCCCGAGGATCCGTTCGCCCAGGTAGGTCTCGCCAGCAAACGTGACTGGTAGGAGAAAAGCGCTGTAAGGCAGCGAGTTCTCTACCACTATAGGTATTCATGCAAAGGTTCGACTGACCCCCGGTGGGAATGTCAAGCATCGAAATGAAGACTGTATTAGAAGACCCAGAAACTCGTTGATTTTTATCACCCTAAAAAGCTCATACAGATTCTATCGTCTCTCATGGTCCCCAAGTCTCACCGCGCCATTTTCTACCCAAGGACACCCCACACCTGACAACTCACGCAGATGGTTATCTTCAGCACGCCGTGGTTATAGTCTCGGTACAACTCATTAGCCTCTTGGTTGCATTCGATGCACCTGTACTGGCAGGAGGCCACGGCAGCAGTAGCAGTAGTAGTCGTTGCCACCCCATCCGTGTTCCCTTTGCCCGCTGTCACCCCTTCCGCGGTCCCCTTTCCCGGTCGTAGCCCACTCCGCCCACCAGTGCCCATTTCCACGCAACTGCAGCCCAGAACTTCCGATTCTGTGCCGGGGAAAACGTCAGACGTCACACCGGAAAACCTGCACAGCGCGGTGCTTGCTGGGATGCGTAGTCCCGGTACCGGAAAAGGCGCCCGAGTCTGGCCGAGTTGGGACTACAACTCCCATCAGGCAATGTCACTCCCCTTCTTCCGCCTTCTTGCCACGGCCCACCTGCCCGCCGCGGGTTAAGGCTGGGAGGCCGCAGTGCGCGGCGAGGGCCGCCGCACATGCGCCTTGAGGGAAGATGGCACCTGCCGGCTGCTGCTGCTGCTGCTACTGTTGGGGCGGTGCTGTGGCCGCTGCGGCCGCTGCCGGGCGCGTCTTGGTGCTGCTGTTGCTGGGGGTCCTGTCCGCCGGGCCACACCCTGGCGCCCTGGCCACCGAGCACTACTCGCCACTGTCTCTGCTCAAGCAGGAGCTGCAGCACCGGCAGCAGCAGGAGGCCCCGGCGGGCGGCGGCTGCAGCCCGCAGTCTGGGGACTGGGGGGACCAGTACTCGGCCGAGTGCGGCGGTGAGTGGGCGGCGGCGGGTGGGCGTCCGGGGCGTCCCTGGGCGCGGGGGCCGCGGGGCCGGCGGGGCCATGGGGGCTGCGGGTCCCGGGGCCGATGTGCAGGCCGCCCGGGCCTCGCCCCAGCGGCCGCGGCGTGTGCTCCTGCGGGAGCCGGCTCCGCGAGGTGTCACCCCGGGGCCGCTTCCCGCCGCTCACACCCACGCCGCTGCGCGCCCTTCTCTCGTAGCCGCCCGGGGGAGGGCAGTGAATAGAGACAAGAGCTGACAACATGCTCTCCCAGCCAGGTTGGCCTCTCCGGAGTCCTAGCAACTGTCGAAAGGGTGGAGGAAGAGATGGCAGGTGCCGGGGCAGCCCCGGTTCCTGCTCCGGCCCCCGTGGGTGCCGTTGGAGCAAAGGAAGGACCGAAAGACCGAGGAAGGCCAGGCTCACCGGCGGGGCCCGCGACCCGAAGAGGGCTGCCCGGTCCTTCTTAGACCTGGAAATCAGATTTCCTGGTCTCCCGAGTTGATGTCTTGTATTAAACATAGCCTCTACAAATTCGATCCCTGGAAAAAAGGGAGCAAAAGAGCAAGCCCATTTAATCTGTCGTTGACATCGTCCTTCCAGTTGCTTAAGATTGATCTGTGATCTGTCAGGTGTCTCCCAGAGGGTGAAAAGGGCCCTGCGGGCCTCTAGCCTGTGTGTCAGAGCTGTGTGTCTTGGCACTAGGCCAGCTCATTCATTAAGATTGGGCGCTATTGGCCTCAATTTAAGAAGTCATGGCAGATGCCTCAGGGGCAGAAAACATGTGTACGTTTTTTATTTGAAAGTTCTATAGTGGATCTTTTCACCCTTCAACCCTCTCCTCTCTCCTTCCCCTCTCCTCTTCCCCTGTGTGAGTTCCCTTAAGGCTTACTTTTGAAAAGTCTGGGTCTACCCAACTTCCTAGGAGGTGGCTCGTTCTTTTATCGCCCAACAGCAGTTTAGCATTGTGTACTTAGGAAGACAATGTGTTTTGTGGTTGGGATGAGATGTCAAGATTAGCACACTCTGATTTCCTTTTAGCACAATCTGACTTCCTTGAGGAAGTCTCGCTCATTGAGGGCTGTGTGACTTCAGTATTTGGTAATAGGCCATGGCTCGTAGCAGCATAAATAATGTGGCCGGCATTGCATAGTGGAAAAAGAGTGGCTTTTACCTCTGTCACTTTCCGTGACTCTGAGCAAGTTAATTGCTTGTCTTTGCAAAATTACCTCCTCTGTAAATGGAAGACACTCTTACCTAATTGCAGGGTTTTACTTTTTTCAAAAGGGTGCTGTGAGGAAAATGAAAAATAGCTAACGTACGTGGAGTGCCTGCCATATGCCCGGTGCTGTTATAAGAGCTGCATGTTGACTAGCTTATTCTCTTAGTCTGTCAGAACACCAGTAACTCCTTCATTGGGTGGTAGCTTCTTTTGTCAGACAAGGAAACTGAGGCACAGTGAAAGCATCGCTTTCCTGAGGTCCCACAGCTGTAAAGGGAGGAGCCCAGGTGGTTAGACCCCAGACAGAGATTGTCTTAAGCACTAAGTGGTTATAGATAGGAAAACACATCTGTAGTATTCACTAGCATACGGTATGTATTGTGTAAATCGTCATTTCCTCTTTCCTCCTATAGTCAGTGATGCTTACTGGCTAACAGAGACCCAGATTCTAGGCAACGGAAGATAATCAATTTATATATAAAATCGATTGATATTATTATTTTAGGGGGCTCATTTCACTCTGTAGCCTCAGGCTTATGCCAGTGTTTAAGAGGCCAACTCTGACTTGTATTATGCTTTTCTCTCAGATAATGATAAATGTAAGTTTTCATAAACTAGGCATTTGGAAGACTCTTCTTGTCTATTCCCCCATTCCCTCACATATCGAGGCCATCATCTAATGTTCTCTGCTTCAAAGGATGAACACTGTATTACCAGGCTTTAAGCATAATTTATTTAAATGTTTCGATTTTCTTTCTATCTTCCCCATGTAGTACGTACTTAGTTTGGAATTTAAAATGTGCTGTTGCAAAAGAGCGGCATGAGTCTTTCGGTCTCCCCTGGGCTGACATGAATGTCCCAGTAGCTGCTGACAGGAGCTAAAGTAGCTTGGCTGCTACTGCTGTCACTCTAATAAATAATTCCCAGAGTCACCTGCTTATGCTTCGTGGGGCTCCAGCTGTTTCTCTTAGCTTTATTGGCTGCAGTATGTGACAAAAGCCATCTCTCGTGTGGCGGAGACTCCCAAAATGTCTCTCATTTCTCCCTTCTCATCCTGGAAAAGTAGATAGATTCTGGATCCCGTGAAACCTGCCCCAGATCCTCTCTGTCCTAAGAAGACAGATACAGGAACAGATTCAGGATTTACAACTAACAGTATCGTAGCTTGAGGGGCTCATGTTCTGTATCCAAAGCCCTTGTTTGATCAACATAAGGGTCTAGATAAGTGCAAGGATCCATAGCTAATAAGTTCTTCACAATTAAACAGACTGGACCTCACCAAGTATGAATCATGTCATCGTCACTTGCTGGTCTATCCAACCACAAGCCTGTCGTATCCAGCCAGTTCCTATAAAGAGGGCAGACGCAACAGTACAGCCACTTTTTAGAAGCCTTCCTACAGCTTTCAGATTCAAATGGCTGAGTTGATGCCTGCTTGGAACTAAATCTTCAGACCTTCTGATGAGCTGTATAGTTGTTCTCTTAAGATGGAACCCCCAGTGATTGCAGGCCACAGACAACAGCTGGTGGGAGCCCATCGGTCTGGATAGCGCACAGGCAGTGGCTGGCTGCGCTGTGTGGACCACCATCAAATGGAATCCAGGGCCCAGGGAGCAGCCTAATGCTCAGTGGGCTGAGCACCCACCCCCCCCCAGGTCTAGCTGCAGAGGGGACAAGCATGGGTGATTCCTGGTGCCATAGGTCTGAGCCTGAGCTGTACTGTTCCCCAGCCACTTTCAACTTTTTCTCCTCCAGCACACTTCGACATTTCTCTTTTTATTTGAAAAGCAAGTATAACCACAAACTTCTGACCGTCTGTTTTCCTGTAGTGAAAATAATCATACTTTAAAAAACAAAATGAACACTGTAATGTACATGTTTTTCATAAAAATAAATTTTCCTTCCTTCCTTTGTTACCTTTGCCCTGTTTTTAGTTGGCAATTGTGGGAAGAAATAATGAACAGACGTTTTCCCCCAATTCTTTCCCTCAGTTTATACTCGTAAAGACTATGTACATTCTTGTTTAATCCTCTTGACACTGAAGTAGGTCCTGTTTTATGCCCATTTTACCTAAGGTGAAACTGAGGCAAAGAGAAGTTAGGAAAGGTTACACAGTGAAGCATAGAGCCAGGATTTGAACCTGCCCTCCTGCCTGTTTGTGCATTATCTCCTCAGTAATCTTTGCATATTGGTGTAATTTCTTACTAATATTAGTGATAAAAGTCCTATACCCTTAAGCTTGTTTGTTGAGAATTATATTCTTAAATAACTTCTCCTAGAATTTTATATTTACATATATACAAGCATGCTTCGCTGAACCTAATATTTTGAAGTATAGAGCTGGAATGTATCTGTTCTTTCACTGAAAAGCTCTCTGTGTGCCTACTAGGTGCTCCACAGTGTTCTAGACCCTGGGACTACAGCACAGCTGGCTGAGTTCCTCCAGTGGAACCTGGGTTCTGGGGGAGGGCAGGAAATCTGTGTATAATAGGCCTGGTGCTAAGTGCCTTGAGAATAAAAAGTAATGTGGGGATGCTACTTTGAGAGGTGGCCAGGGAAAGCCTCTGGTAAGTTGACATGAGCAGAAACCTGAATTGAATGAGATTTGGGGAGATCTCAGAGATGTCTTAGTTTGACACTCTAATGTTATAGAGCTGGTAAATTAAGGCCTAGATAAGTCAGAACTTATCCATTGATGTAAGAACTCAGGTTCTCCTCTGCTTTTCCTGACAGAGCTAAACTGCGTCTCATTCAATTGTGACAATCGTCTGTACTAAATGTATCTTCATGTGTTCTTTGCAGACAGTGTAAGATGTATTTTAGTAGTTCCAACATAGGCCTTTCCAGTGATTGCTTCAAAAATACTTTTATTTTCCATCTTTGAAAGTGTAGTATTAATAAAAACACTGAATTTGTGTGATTTTTTTTTTCTTTTTCTGCCTTCTTGAGACTCTGTCTGCTCCTAAATGACAGAGTCTTGTTCTTGATGTCTTTATGGTAGTTTCACCTTCATCTAACTGGTGCCATTACCGCTATCCATGCTTCATGCCTCAATCAAGTTCAATGATTAAATTACAACCTAAAGTAATTTTCTTTAGTTTGCGGAAATTAATAATCCCAGATTTGAGTTTATTTTCCCACAGTTCTTTGTGGAGAAAAGAGCATTAGTGTCTTATCTGTCTGATTTGGGAGTTGTTAATTGCCAGAAAAACAAGGAAGTAGCTAGGAACCTAGCTCTGTGTTTTCGACAAAGTAAGACTTCATCGTCAGAATATATG